ATTTTTTGAACATCAGAAAAACATAATAAAAGAAATATTTTTTCCCCCACATTTGCTGAACATTTTTAAAACATTCGGTCTCTAAAGTCTGGCTCGAGACTTAGGGCGGGTATTATAAAACTATTTTAACAGACCAACTAAAAGTTAACTTTTGGAATGACAAATTGTGCGATTGTTTTGGACCGTTCTAGAACCATCCTTTTTTCGAACCAAAACAAAGCTTTTCATTTGATTTAACTTGTCCTTGTTTGCTGTTTCTAGGCGCCATAGGTATCTACCTGCTCTGCTACCGGTTGAATTAATTCCCAGTGTTGTCACGTAGTAACCATTGTAACGGTAAAGTAAAAATGGCCATACCTGGGGTAGTATTTTCGAATATTCTCGCATACGAAATTTGATAAGATTTCGAATGCTTCCCATTTAATTTACATTGCTGTCAATCAATTTTCGTGTACGAAATCTACTCGCGAATGAATTCGAAAATACGACCCTTGGAAACCCATGAAAGCTACCAATTATAAAAACGGTTCTGGCAACACTGGTAGTGCCTGTATTTTTGTGAGAATCCAAGATAGCCATCATCCATGGTGTGTCCTATATTTTTGGTTCAAAGATTTTTTGATACAATAATTGAGTTCTGCAGGAAAAAATACATGAGATAGGTATTATGGATTTTCTCAATAAAAGAGAGAGTAAAAAGAAAGAAATAAGAAAAAAAGAAGCCTTTGATCAATCCTCGTTGGAACACCCTGTATCTATAAAAATGATATTGATTATTTATAGTCATACAAATTAGTTCTTATTGTAGGTAGAAGACTGTGACGTCACGCGCCGGATTTTCAAGATGGCCGCTGATACGAATGATGTTTAGTTTGTGCTGACAACTATTTTATCGTAAATTCGGATTTATCTAGTGTTATAAGTGTAAATTTAAAGTTTCGTTTAATGTGTGTAAGCATAAAAGACTCGTGGCTGAAAATACTCGCGAAAACCCCAAGCATTTTCTGGTTTTATAATACTGGATTTGTTGTATCAGGACATCGCTCTTTTATTTGTGTGTATTGCTAGTTAGTTCCTAGTCAAGCATTTGTTTTGCTTTTTTTTATAAATCAAATATCTACTTAGTTGTAAGTTTCCTTTGCATGTAATTACTAATAAAAATTAGGGTTTGTGAAGAGTGAATAAATAAATATGTAAATAAATTCCTTTACTGGCGCGTTTACTATGAAAACGCATGGAAAATATGGGAAACTTGCAATGTTTTTCTGGAATATGATTATGAGAATCTAAATTAGGTATCACTATTTGGCTTTGTGAAATAAGCTCACTTTGAATGTCCATATTAAATCGTTCTAGTACCTATTAAATTAATGAATAATAATTGAGAAGTACCTAGGTAGGGTCAGTAAAAAATAAAGCACACTATTGCAACCCCGTTTCGCTTATATTTTGATATTGAAATGCAAAAATTAAACCGGCTCGGCACTCCACATTTGGTTTTCTACTGTTTCTCAACTGCAGTCAATTGTGCCCGTTTTGTGCTCAATTGTGCCAGTATTTATGCGAATTGTGCTCATTTTCATACACAAAAAAAACATTGAAACGAATCCGGGGGCCAGCTTGACTCCAGCCCTTCGTTTTTTTGACTTTTTGGCAATATGTTTGGCTAATTGATAAACAAAAGCAAACAAACTCGTCTTTCTAATTAGCAATTAGCCAACCACTCAAGCCTCAAGGACACAAGCTTTTGAAGTCTGCTAATTTTAAAATCAATAAATTAATTACAAAATACAGTTTTCAAAGGAAATAACCTCAAAATAACAATTTTTCACGTTTGAAAATGCAAGGATAGTGCACTGTCATAAAAAACACAAACCGATCAAGGACTGCGTGACGTCATTCGCATACCGCCATCTTCGATGTTTTTATGAACGTTTGTCTTATGGGATTGAGCAATCCTGTAGAGTTTACGATTCTTGGGTTTGTGCAGTTTGTTTTTTTATTTATCATATTTATCAAAAATGAAAGAGAATCAAAACTATATATTTTAAAATGTTCAATCTTGAGATATAACAAGAAATAAATAGATAAATAGCCACCCACGGATGTGACAGCTGATAGGTTGACGCGCACGTACAGCTCGGGAGCTCAACGCCCCGAGTAGCTCCGGGCGCACGCTCGTAGAAAAAGGTAACAAGATTTTCGCGTTAAGGAATTCGTTTTTTTGACCCATAAGTCCTTTTCACGTGGCTCCGGTTTACCAAACCGCAACCTACCGCTCAAGAACAAAAACAATAGAAAATTTGTAAAAAACGGAGAGCGAGAAAATTGTGACAGATGTAAACTTAAAAAGTTGCGTGTTTTTGGTTAATAAAGTTTCAACCTACCTAATCAATAGGGCAATCCAAACAAAATGGCGGCCAATGCCAAAATTTTGGCGCCATAAATTTAATTCAAACCGTGACATTTTTCATCAAAAAACTGTTTTTTGTGGTGTTTTTAGATGATTGTCTAGTGCTTGGAAGGATAATTTTCGTATTTTAAGATGGAAAGTTTTTAGTTTAAGAAATTATTAGTGGAAAACCCGGATGTTTGCAAAAGTTATGATTTCTTTGTGACAAACCTTTACCTACTAAGCAATTAGGTAGGTACTCGCCAGGATTTGTTTCCTGTTTAGTTTTTTCCTAACAAAATCCTGAATCTTGATTTATATTTTATATTTTATTTGTCTGCTATTCAAGGTATCGACACTAGTTTATGTGGAGAATAGTAAATAGTAAATACTTGGATCCATACACCGTTTATGTAGAGAGACTTTTTAGTTTTTAAAAATGGATTTGTCATATTTTTTCTCTTTTGCTTTTGCTACAATCCATGAAGCCCTTACAAAGTACAGACAAATCGTTTTTCTCCGTTAAAAACCTGTGTTTGGTCTCTGCAGGAACGGCATGAAACGAGACTTTCTCGCGATTAGAACGGCTTTCATAGTCCAGGAGGTGGCGCCAAAAACATGCAAGAGTTTTCGCAAGGCAGATATTTTCAAAATAGGTCGTACTTTAGTGCTAGAATGCTTGTGTACAGTCAGCACTCACAGTTCCGGGACAGCTGGCTCTGGGACGCGGGCAAAGTTGTAATTTTAAGAAGCATCTAAACTGTTTTCTCAAAGCTCAAAATTTATAGAAATTTTGCACATGATCTGTTTGAAGGTCACAGATAACTTATGTAAATCGTCAGACGTCTAATTCGTTGCAAAAAGGGGGTCAGACGTCCTCAAAGTTCTTATTTTATGGCATGCTGTCAGTTTATGTAATGATAGGTAATTTGTTTTCCGTTCGGTATTTTGTTCAAAGAGCAGACCCCTCGGGTCGTATTTTCGAATTCATTCGAGTAAATTTTCGTACACGAAATTTGACTGACAGCAATGTAAATTAAATGGGGAGAATTCGAAATCGTATCAAATTTCGTATGCGAGAATATTCGAAAATACGACTTCAGAGCGTGCAGAGCGGAGCCGTCATCACGTGACCAGCAGCGTACAAAGCAGCTCAGAGGGCTCGAAATTACAATAAACGAACGTGAATGAGCCTGCACCGAGAACACTTTTTGAATAAATGAACAGTGAATTCATGCTCCGAGAACTCAGATCCAAATACCGAACGTACGGGTAATGTACTTTGAATGACACAAGATGTCACGCATCGAAAAAGCTTGCAGCTTGCACTTCGGAGTTGGCGTGCATGCTAGCACGAAATTGAATTGAGGATGCCAACGTTAAACAACATTGTCCTAGCATGCGTGCCGAAGTGCCACTTCGCTACCAGATTGATTGAGGATGGGCCTTACCTTGCGTTCGGTATTTTGCTCGAAGAGCAGAGCGTGCTGAGCGGAGCCGTAATCACGTGACCAGCGAGGGAACAGAGCAGTTGAACGCTATGTAAAAGTGCCAGAAATTTTAATAAACGAACGCGAATGAGGCTGCACCGAGTACACTTTTTGAATAAACGAACGGTAAAGTCATGCTCGGAGAACTCAGACCAAAATAACGAACGCACGGTTAATATGTGATTTGCCTTTAGTGCCGTTTGAAAAGCTAGTAGTTGTATTCCTTTCAAGAGTTTGAAACACTCGAGCTACTCGCTTCGGTGTTAAGTCGCCCCAGATTTGCAGGGAACAGATGCGTGGTGCAACAAACACTTTTCGAAAGGAATGGAATGAGCGCGTGAAGCCCCGGAGCTGTTCCGGAGCTTCTCCTAGGTGTGAAAGGAATACAACTAATCAAGATCCAGCACAAGAATCGTGATCCGGCACATCGAAATGACTGTGTGCTCAGCTCTGGAAAGTTACCTTCACAGTTTCGCACCAACAGTCATGTTTTCGAACGTGTCCCGACTCCCGGCAGTTGCCAGGTTGCCACATGTAGGAGGGTATTTGCAATAATTTGCATTTTGTTATTACGCCAAGGTCGAAGTAGGGCATTTCAATTAATTACATCTTCAAATCTTGTTTTTATTATGGTACCTACATTGGATTTCAAACCGGAAATTGTTCAGTGAAATAGAGATGAAAATTAGTAATCTTTAGACATTTTCAATGCTTCTTGATGTTTTGATACGAAAATAGCAATTTTCAAAGCCGGGCAAGCCGGCAGGTGAGAGTTCAGTTGGTAAAATCTGGCAACACTCCGTGCGTTCGTTATTTTGGTCTGAGTTCTCCGAGCTTGACTTTACCGTTCGTTTATTCAAAAAGTGTACTCGGTGTATCCTCATTCGCGTTCGTTTATTAAAATTTCTGGCACTTTTATACAGCGTTCATCTGCTCTGTTCGCTCGCTGGTCACGTGGTTACGGCTCCGCTCTGCACGCTCTGCTCTTCGAGCAAAATACCGAACGCAAGGACTGTAGCAAACCAAACTGACAACCACCAACCAAACAAAGGACCCCAAACCAAAAACGCCAAAACGTCCGAAACCAAACCAAACCAACGGCCACAACAAACTAAACGGCTTGGCGGGCTTGACTCCTTTCGTTTGGCTCGTTTGTTTTTTGCATTTTCTGGTTATATAAACCATAAAGTGTTAATCATATTTGATAATTATTTCAAATAATTTCCTGTTTTATTAATAAGATTTTAATCTATTTCATGTTGGAATCGTAGTAATCGGTTTTTCAGTTTGCTAGAGGAGTGTTGTGCAAAAGCAAAAAATGGCGGATATAAAGGTAGGATTTTATTTTGGTAATAAGAGGTCTCTAAACACGTTGTTCCTGGCTTAGAGCTTCTGTTTTTTTTTCAATTATTCATGCTACTCTATAGATGTTTTTTTTATTCCCGTAAAACTAGTGCTATTAGTGGTCATACAGGACATTTATTTGTGCCGTTAGTACAGGTAAATGCATTTTTTTTTTTTGAGGGAAATTTTATAGTCTGCACTACAGCAAATGAAAATAGGTTCTTTGTGTAATCTGCAAGCTAGGGCTGCTGATTCTACATCGATCTTTCTGAATATCCACCTTTTTCTTCAGAAAATCGATTTTATGTCGCAACATTCTTAATGAAAAATCATCTTTTCTTTAGTGTATCGGGCCATGTATTTTTATCAAAACAGAAGCGTTCGAATATAAAATCTTGTACCTACCCTACCTATCTCATTTTTAGGTCTCACTAGACTTGTTCTTTTATTGACCTCTCGATAAACCGGCTCCAGGAATTTGTCCTTAAACATATTTATCAATAAATACATAACTCCAGCAGAGAATTTTATTTTAAAATTCATTTAAGTTTTATATATTTGGGATCAGAAAGTGGCTCATTGAAGTAGTACATACTAGTACCTACACTACCTACTAGCAGTAGGTGCAATAAAACACTCATGTTAATGGAATTATTTTTATACCAAACAAGACATAGGTAAAAACCTTCACAATTCCTAACTACATACTAACCTAACACTATGGGTAACAAGGAACATTTATTTATATTATATTATATAACCAAAATTTGAGAATGATTTTGAAGAACAGACTCCACTCCACAATTTGACACCCCATTTGAACCCCCAGCCCCCTTAGTAGATCGGTAAAATGATAGATTGAACAAAGAAAAAAATTAGGAAATTGATCCAAGACAAATTTGTTCCACCCGAGGTTTCATCAAATTTTAGGTTTGATTTTAAAGAACAGACAACACTCGCCCACTCTACAATTTGATATAATATTTGACCTCCTAGTCCCCTTAGTGCCCCCGACGTTTTGTCTTCTAGCGGCAATCATCAACTTACTTTAAATCGAACTTGGATTTTTTCTTTGCGATTTTGTCATCTTTGGGCATCCTAAAACCGATACTCATTATTAGGTCTGTTCTCGGGTCTGTTTTTATGTGGCACAATCTAAGGTCTTTGCTCGGGTTTTTGTTAAGTAACAAGGACTTAACAAACAATGATCTAACTGCACTTAGAGCATTGAAATGGAAAAAAATTCTAGAAAATTGAAGACAGTTTTGTTTACCAAAATCTGAGTTTGATTTTAAAGAACAGACCCCACTTCACAATTTGAAACCCCATTTGAACCCCTAGCCCCCTTAGTAGATTGGTGAAATGATAAATTGAACAAAACAAAAATTAGGAATCCAAGACAATTTTGTTCCACCCGAGGTTTCACCAAATTTTAGGATTGATTTTAAAGAACAGACTCGAGAACAGACCACACTTGCCCACTCCACAATTTGATATCATGTTTGACCTCTTAGTCCCCTTAGTAGACTGATACAGTAATAAATGGAACAAAAAAAATCCTAGACAATTATTTTGTTGCACTAATTTCTGTGGCTTGGTTGAAAAAGGACCTAAGTGCAAATTTTCCAAAAATGAGCTATTGGGCCTAACTAACCAAATAAATAGTGCTATTTCAAATGAAAAGGGTCCTAAGCGGATAAAACTCTTAGGTTATCAACATTTTAATGTAAAAAGGACCTAAGTGTAAAAATTGTAATGCATATAAAGACCTATGTTCAGTTAAGACCCATTTTCATTGGTATAGTACCTATAAGAATAAAGTGTAAAAACTCAAATTGGCATAAGTGGTTGATAGGCCTGAAAAAATTTGGTCTATGTGCTCTTAGGTCTTTTCAACATTCTATCTGCTTTTTCCCTATAGGTCCTATCTGCAACTTAAATTAATTTAATTTTACAATTTTGGTCCTATATTTACTTAGGGCCTTTTTAATTTTACCGCTAAAAACAAAAGCAGGCCTAACTGACACATAGATATGGATTATTCTCTAGTCGTCTAGGTTTAAATGTTACTCAGGCCCTTATTAATTGGGAACTTGAATTTTGCTGCATTCTAAGTACGACATAGGCCCATATCGTCGAAGCAGATTCGATTCACGCTGCAATTGCAGAAGCCAAAACACTTTAATGGACATAGAAATGCTCAGAGACTGGTCTACACTTATCAGAATTACACAGCGAAAAGGGGGAATTGAAGTGATTGCCATGTCGCAGGAGGATTTTTATACATAAGCCTTCTTCAAAAAGCTCATTTCATAAATCGCAAAAAAAAAAACAGAAGGAGAATCAATGTCGTTCTAAACGCAAACTATTTCAGATATGGATAATCCTATTAAAATTATTTACAAACAAAGGTTTTTGAAAGAAGAAGAATTTGAAGTGTCGGATATAACAACAAAGAAAAAACGGCAATCAGGTGAAGCCAGAAGCATAACTGACTTTAGAAAAATTTCACATCTTATATCCCCTTCCCATCCCAAAAAGAAACTGGATGGATCAAAAGTTCGTTGGGTTACATACATCTCTATACCAATAGTCGACTTTTTATGAATTTAAAATCATTAAACGATGAAGGCCAAGATGAAGTTTGTCCAGCAGGCTCAGTGGAATATGACAAATAATAGAAGTGTTTGCCTTTTTTTTAAAACTTTTTTCAGATTTTTTTTTAAAATTTTTCTTCAAAAATTGAAACATATTTTATTTATGTAGCTTAAAAAAAAAAAAGAAAAAACGTTTCAAGTGAATTAAAAACGGCCTAAGTACCGTTCTTACTAACAATAAGGCCTAAGTAACACTTTTTAGGTCCCAAGTGCTACTTGTCACCTATCACAATTAGGGCTTATGTACAGGGTGCTGCAATTTGGAGTGTTTTAACAGGAAAAACATACTTCCAGACCAGATAGAGGAAAATTGACTCAGATGTCATGGGATCGGTTTTCGAGAAACGTCTATTATCAAAAACCGTATCGCGATATCTTCAATGGTACCATTAATACAGGGCGATTTTCGATTTTCCCCTATTATGAAAAATGGCTATAAGTTTTTTGTTTATCAATTTTTTTTATTTCTGTGAAAACATCTTTAGGATACTTTTTTGAGCACAATTCAGTGGCGTACTCAGTTTTTTTCTATTCCGCTCCCATTTTGAGATATTGACCAAAGTTCGATTTTTTTAAATAGGACACCCTATGTATTAATAGCTTATTGGATAGCTCTGCTTTTGCTGATTTCAATGATATAAAGTTCGATAGGTTTATCTCTAAAAGTTTTCGAGAAACAAAAAAAAATCTGTTTCAGTCGTAAGAAACAATGTGTTAGAGAGAGACCTTCCTCATTTTCCTTACACATATAAAATCCTGTTCTAACACATTGGTCCTTACGACAAAAACAGATATAATTTTTTTTCTCGAAAACGGTTAGAGATAAACCTATCGAACTTTATATCATTGAAATCAGCAAAAACAAAGCTATCCAATGAGCTATTAATATATACGGTGTTACATTTAAAAATATCGGACTTTGGTCGATATCTCGAAATCGGAGCTATATAGAAAAAAACGGAGCCCGCCACTGGATTGTGCTCAAAAAAGTGTCTTCATAATGTTTTTACAGAAATAAAAAAAATTGATAAATAAAAAATTTATAGCTATTTTTCATAATAGGGGAAAATCGAAAATCGTCCTGTTTTAATGGTACCATTGAAGATATTGTGATACGGTTTTTGACAATCGACGTTTCTGGAAAATCGATCTCATGATGTTTAGGTCAATTTTCCTCTTCTGGCCTGGAAGTATGTTTTTCCTGTTGAAACACTCCAAATTGCAGCACCCTGTACATTGATACAAAAGTATGTTAAAAGTAATAGTTAATATGTGTTTTTTTTTTTAAAGATAAAAGTCAAAATGACACTATGTTGGCAATACAATGTAAAATTGTCAAGCTTTCAAATTTTTTATGTAGAAAAGGCTGTGTTGCCAACATAGTTACTAAATTTTTGACTTGGAGAATTATCTTTAAAAAAAAAAAACAGACTTTATTTATGACTGACATATAATGTAAGTATTATATTTGTGATTTTGGCAGTATAATGCCATATATTATTCCTGCAGGGATTAATGGCCATTATTTCCGCTTGCAAACCAATCACAAAATTTCTCATATTAAATAAGTAGTACTACCTACCATGGAAACAATATACCTGAACAAACTCAAAAGTGTCAGTGTCAAACGCGTAGTGCTTGCGTATTTGTATTGAGATAGATGAACAAATAGCGTTTTTGGAAACGAAATTTGAAATAAATTAATTTGTCGTAAATAAAGTAGAGTATACTACTAGCAATAATGGCTATTATTCCCTCGGAATGTTACTCCCTCGCCGCTAACGCGGCTGAGTTCGTAAATATTCCTCGGGAATAATAAGCTATCATTATTGACTCGTGGTATAATATACTATTATTTATTATACAAGACGGTAAAAAGATGCTTTACCTGTGAGTGGAAAATGTTGATTCACGAGCGACGAAGGAGCGAGTGGATTAATTCCACGAACAGGTAAAGCTTTTTTACTGTCGTGTGTAATATTCTATTTTATTCTTGAGTAACTTTATCACAATTACTAAAATCATAAGCTAAAATGTGCTAAAATTTTACATAGATTATGACAAGTTGACAAAGTACCTAACAAACTGACACATTTCTGATGTTGTCAATCATGCAACATAACAGATTTCTGCCAAAAACACTATAATTATTATAAAAGATTTGAACAAGTGGGTAAAATTGACGTATGAATGGGTAAAATTGACGTATGAGTGGGTAAAATTGACAAATGAGTGGATAAAAATTGTTCGATTTCACTACTTCAAATAAAGTGTTACTTTAACGAGTTTTGAGTCGATTAAATGATAGTTTACCATTCACGATAGAATAAAAGATTTTTAAAAAATAAATGTATTATATGAATAATTCTGCTTTTTAGTAGACCCTACCAAAATTTTATTAAATTCGAAAAAGTAACAATAAAGTAATAAGCATTTCAAGTTTTCATACAAATCCTCGAATATCTCAAAACTTGATTTTGTTAGATAGGCCTTTTTTCG